GGGAAAGAGGAGAGTAGGGAAAATCAGAAAATTAGAGATACCAGGAAGAATCTAGTCAGCCCCAGCAGATGAATACTTTTGAAACACATGACCCATCCCCATGTCATGCAACATCTCTCAGTATCTTGCAAGGAACTCTTTACAGATAAGAGACCCATTAAAAATATAAAAGAATATTTTAGATGATGGAAGGCTTACTGTCAAGTCAGTGGGTTTTCTTTGAAGTACAAAACCTGATCTAAGTTTCCAAATCTTTTAGCTAGGCTTCCATACATTGTTGGGTTTTTTACTGTATGGTCTTTAAAGTGAGCATCATCAATGCATCTGAATGCTGCCTCTGTGGGTTAACTCTGCTTCTCATTTGTAGATACAGATGGACTCATCAGCCAAGCCCTTTTGTTGGGGAACTTTGAGGGTGCAGTGGAGCTGTGCATGAGGGCAGAGCGTTTTGCTGATGCCATAATCTTAGCTATAGCTGGAGGGGAGAACCTCCTGAAGGAGACCCAGAAACGCTACTTTGCCAAGCGTAAGACAAAGCTCTCCCTGGTAAGTGACAGTTTTTTGTACCTACTCAGCAGGGGAAGGTGTGCAGTATCTTGGCAGATGTTTATCTGAATATATGTGAATCATAGAATCCTAGGGGTTGGAAGAGACCTCGAAAGATCATCTAGTCCAACCCCCCCTGCCAGAGCAGGCTCACCTAGAGTACATCACACAGGAACGCATCCAGGTGGGTTTTGAATGTCTCCAGTGAAGGAGACTCCACAACCTCCCTGGGCAGTCTGTTCCAGTGCTCTGTCACTCTTACAGTAAAACATTTTTTTCGGATATTCACCTTGAACCTCTTATGCTCCAATTTGCACCCATTACCCCTTGTCCTATCACTGGTCATCACTGAAAAAAGCCTAACTCCATCTCCCTGACACTCACCCTGTACATATTTGTAAACATTGATGAGGTCACTCCTCAGTCTCCTTTTCTCCAAGCTAAGGAGACCCAGCTCCCTCAGCCTTTCCTCATAAGGGAGATGTTCCACTCCCTTAATCATCTTAGTAGCTCTGCGCTGGACTCTTTCGAGCAGTTCCCTGTCCTTTTTGAACTGAGGGGCCCAGAACTGGACACAATACTCCAGATGCTGCCTCACCAATGCAGAATAGAGGGGGAGGAGAACCTCTCTTGACCGACTAACCACACCCTTTCTAATGCACCCCAGGATGCCATTGGCCTTCTTGGGCACAAGGGCACATTGCTGGCTCATGGTCATCCTCATATGTGGAAGTGCTTTGGCAGGAAATAGAATGTCAGCAGAATCTCTTCATCTCCTCTTGGCTAGACATTTACTGTAATCTCTTGGTAGTTGTATAACAGCTTCATGTTGTCCACCAAGAATGTCTGTGTTCTTTGTTTCTTTTGTTTTTAATCTAATGGTTTCTGCCTCAGCTTCCTGTGCTTGTAACTTGTGGAGCATACTGCTCCTTTACAGCACAGCTAGAAGGATCCTAGCTGACAGATTGGCAAAGGATAATGCGTAACAGGAGTTTGGATATCCTAATGCTATATTCCCAGTCATAAAGAGTAGCTGCTCTGAAACAGGATATGTGTTAGATAGAACTTCAATTTTGTCTAGTGTGGTTGTTTCCGTATTGTCTTCAGTGCCTTGTTGGGCTTTTTTACTTTCTTTAGTGGCATTTGGTTCCAGTTACCATTAACGCTGGGATAGGTGAACCTTCATGTACAGTGAAGTAGTTGCTGCACGGTGGGAAGTGTACATGAAAATGAGCTATCCCTGTGGGTGCCCTTACTTAAGCAGTCAGCTTACCTTTGTCTGCAGTGACTGACAGGCCTTCTGGTTCTCTTACAGCTGCTTTCCTCCATTGTGCAGCAGAACTGGCAAGATATTGTTTGCACATGTGATCTACAGAGCTGGAAGGAGGCACTGGCCATCTTGTTAACATACTCAACGCACGAGGACTATACCCAGCTCTGTGGTATGCAGTGTACTGTTTTTATACAGTTTCCCTTAGAGGAGGGCAACTCTGGACTACTTACAGAAAGAAGTGGATACTGTTAAGGAAGGAAAGCACTCCTTACTCATTAGAGCTAGCTGAAACTTACTAAATAAGTGTGGGCTGTTGAGTTACATGAATTATGTGTGCACACTGTATCTGAGAGTCATAGCATAAAGTTATATGTGCTGATATTTCCTGTCACCTCTACCAATAGCATGTAAAAAACCAGGATAGACACTAGACTGAGACACTAGGAGGAGGATATTTATTATTTTATTCTGGGGAGAAGTGGATTTTCTTTACAGTAGAAGGTAAGGTGGCTTCAGTAGTTTCCTTTCAGTAGTTTTGTTAGTAGTCCAGTGTGCTTAGCAACTGGTTGTTGTGAGGCTCTGAGTTAGAGGATGATCTAGTGTCTGAATCTGATAAAATTACTCATGTTGCTTAGCTGGGAACTACTGACTGATGGGAACAGTTAAGTGCTGTTGGAGAAATGCCAGCAGTTTAGACAAGATGATACAATTTGAAATGCAAGAAAACATAACACCTTTTACAGACTCAGCTGTAGGGCTTGGAAGGTGCTGGTGGTGATGGTGGTATAACTCCAGCTCACCTTTATCTCCTAGCGTTTGCTAAACACTGACAACTACCAGATTACTAGATGTCCCTGGTATTGGACACTACTGTTGCCTGGATATTCCCAGAGTGTTTTGAAGAAAAAAAAAAAAGATTGGATTTTTTCACTGAATTAATCTACCATTTTTAAGGCTTTTTATTTTTTTATATGTCTGAGCAGACATATAAAAATTGGCAGATACATACAAAATTACTTAATTTTTTGACCAAGTTGGGTTTGGGATTCCCTAATGATGCCCATTTCTCTGTGTTATCCAAGAATTAGGTGCACATCCAACATTTTCTCAAGCCAAGCAAGAGTACGATTGCTAAGAGATGAGGTTTGGTTTTAAATGAA